ATGTTTATTGCTTATAAACGACGTCATTATTGAAAATGCGTCATACGTAAATTGAGTAAAAAATAGAAATAATTCTGACATTTTGAAAAGTTTTTATTTCGTTCTAACGGGTGAATTAACGGGGCATTATGGCTGATTTAATGTCCATGGGTGAAAATGTTTGGAAAAAAAAACCTACGAAGCCAGAAGTTAAAGTAACTAAGACCAAACGTTCCAAGAAACCCGAGGTCATACAGTTACCAACTACTTCAAAGGACACCAGTGACAAAGATCATAAGCTTGAAGGTATCTTAACATTGACCAATGTTTTTCAAACTAAAGGACAGACTGAACAGGTAGAACCTTTTTCAGATGTTACAATACCCGAACATGAGCCCATTTCGGAGGAAGACGAAATATTGCCCCCGAAGGAAGAAGAAACAATTATCCCATCTACAAAGGAGAAAGTGGATGCAATTAAGGTTGCGCCAAAGTTGAAGCTAAAGTTGATAAACCTATTAGATGATAACGCGGAAATTCGAAAGTTACTACAAAAGATGGATAAGTGGTTATCTCCTAATATAAAAAAAGTTCTTGAAATATCCGACAAAATTAGCATGGAAGATCGCCTTACTTATCAACAGTTTTTTTGTGTAATGGTATGTATAAACATGATTTAACTTTTAAATACCACATAACAAACTTTAAAAAGCGACTGCAATTACTAGAAGCATTGAGTATAAAAAACACAATACGATATCAATAAAACGTTTATAAAATTTAAAAGAAACACACTAAATATATTTAATAAAAAATACGAACTGACACACGAGACATTAAAAACCGACTTAAAACCGACGTAAAGACGCGATATTTTTAAAACGATAAAACTGACATAGCACAAAGATCTCTTTGATAAATGCTCATGGAAGCTGAAAGTATTCAGACATTGGACACTTTATAGCTAAACTGTCAAAGGAAATCAGGAAAATGGGTCGAAATACAGAAAAAATAAACAAAAATTCTTGACATCTTTCGTTGGTCTTTTAGGTCCCTCCACTTTTTCGCGGAAAATAGCATAGTATAATGAAAAAGGCCAGAAACTTAATAAAAATAAAGTTTTATCGTCAAAATGTTTTTGTTATTATTCAGATTTAAGACCAAAGTCTTTTTTGGTTAATTTCTTAATCCTTTCTAACATGTTCGAAATTTTGGTTAAAATCTTTTTTGTTTACGTCATCGTGGTGGCATAATAATTATATTGATTTTTTTGCGCTTTTTTTTCGTTGAAAACACATTGATTTTGAATTCTTGTAAAAATCAAATAATTGTCCGATTTTAATGAAATTTTCAGGACTTATTCACAAATGAATGAAATTATTTTTGAATTTTTTTTAAGAAAATTTTATTAATAAATATTTTTTTAAATAAGTTACACTTACTTAATTTCATGAAATTTCGCAAAAAAACTTTCTATTTCCTGAATTTTTTTATTTGTTAAAAGTAGGACTCATTGGAGAATGTAAATCACCTAATTTTTTTCAAACTTGCACTATTCTAAATGAAAATCTGCTCTGAATTGAAAAATGATAAATGCAATAAAACTATGACATTATTTAATTAGAAAAGTTTTTAATTGCTTTTGTGAATAAGTTATATTAAGGACACTATTGTCTGAAGAAATAAAATTTTTCCGATGAATAATGAATTTTTACAAGAATTTGTTCATCTTTTTAATAATTTTAATTATAATAATTTATAATAGTTTAAAATCGTGTAAAATTCTGTATTGGGCTATTTCCTGGATGTGATATATTAATAAAGTGGAAACGAAATTTACGAATCTAAAATTGAAGAGATTAATAAACCTAGTTACACTGTTCTATTTTTAAAATAATTTTTTATCTTTTTATTTTTTCACATAATTTGTTCGCTTTTTCATCTATGAAAGGCTAAACGTGACATTATTATGAAAAGGTTTACAGAGGAAATAATTTAAGAAAATTTTATAGTATTTAAAAAAAAAAATATTTTTGCATAAAGCATCTTCGAAAGGTAAATAAAAGACAATAAATTATTAGATAATTGCGGAAAATATCTTCATTTGTAAAAATTACTAAGTAGTTAAAAACCATAAAAAAATACATTCCTTTAGATTTCATAAATTTTATATCAATTCTAGTCAGCCATACCAGCTGTCATTCAATCGTCCATCAATCATTGCCTTAGATAACAAGACCAATCATTAACAAATGGTTGTATATTACTTTTTTATGCTATAAGTAAATAATATTTATTTCAAGTCAGATTAATTTAAATTTTTTAATTTTACTTAAATAACTTGTCAGAAATATATATATATATATATATATATATATATATATATATATATATATATATATATATATATATATATAGTTGGAAGAGTTTTAAAATCGATGAATTTGTCTTGTTTACAAATTTCTTAAAATTAAGAAAATAGTCACTTTTAAGAAAATTTTAAGAAATCGAAATTAAATTTGACATTCCAATCTATATAATTTCTATCTGAAATACACCAGAATATTTTACTTACTGGAAATAATAAATTTCAATTAAAGCTAAAATGAAATCTTCAAGAATGCTTTTGCATTTTTTAAAATTCATTTTAAACCTTAGGTATCGAAAATTTATGCCGAAAAAGTGGAGGTAACCAAACTTGTGTAAATGGAGATTTGATGCCTAGGTACACTCAATTCAGACATTATTTCAAATTACAAATAGTGTTTCTGTTGTTCAGCGTAAAAAAAAATACGGTGGAGTAATGGATAACGGCTCGGATTGAGAAATCGGAGAGTCGAGTTCAAATCGGAGTTCAATCGGAGAGTCGATTACATTACATTCACTTACGTACTAATACCATTGAGGAAGGTATGAATACTCTTCTTCTCCCCCCAGCTAGGAATAAATAACAGGACAGATCCTAACCCATACCCACCCAGGCAACTAGTCTACCACAGAAAGAAATGGCAACCTACTGCGGGAAAAAAATCTGCCTCGTCAGTCATGTATCGAAAAATACATGACTGTATGTGCCATGCGTGTATCATGCATGGCACATAACTAACCTGACCAATACCTTGCCGGTCCTGAGTGCGTTGAAGCGGCTCCGTGACCCCTGGTCTGAAAGTGAGTGTTACATTTTCATATGCTGTATTAGAGACTGTCTAACTCCTCTCTTATAGCAGTTTACCAAGCATTCAGTTTTCGGGGTCACCAGTGACAAAGGGGGAATTACGGACTTCTATCTCTGGCTCGGCACCTGGCTTCCTTTGATGGTCTGCTGCAAAATCAAGTACCAAACCTATACCGGCATAATACTACATTAGCAATAACAACAGTCCCTTGCGAAAGTAACTTTTTTTTTGTTTTTGTTCTGCATCAACGTTTTTTTTGGGTTTTTTTTTTGTGGAATAACAATTATTTTTTAACAGTTCTACAATTTAACCCATATCTGAAATGCAGAATTGTAGTAAAGATAATTATCTAAAAGCGAAATTGAGTCTTTAGAGTTTGGGACGTACTGTAAAAAGTTTATTCTTAGCCCCTTTCATATATCGGCAAAATAAAAAGAAATACTGTAATCTTCCATTACTCCTTTGGTAAACCTCGGATTACTTCTTTGAAGTCAATTTCCCCCACTTTAAAAACCCTATTGACATATTTACTGCCGAAATTAAAATTTCTTTATTATTGCCGATGGTATCGATATTTGAGTGGACATTAAGAAAATAAATTTCTAGATTTGTCATTAAAAGAATTTTGTCCCTCTCCACAATCTATCGGATTCTCGTGTGGTAACATTTATATTTTAATGTTGTGAAGTTAATCATATTACAATTCTCCGTATTCATGTTACCCATTCTCCGTATTACCTGTAGGCAATAATCTTTATTCATGTATTTAGATTTTTACAGCTGTTAATTTCTATTAGTTTCAGTCATCACAGAGTTGCTGCTGCTGCTGCTAAATCTCATACCATGTGATACCTATGAGAGCCACCTTGTCCCTCCAAACAGCACTGAGCGATGGCACGGATGATGTTCGGATAACCGTTCCTCCGGCGTAGCTCTTCATTGGACACAAGATTGGACTAGTGTACACCTCGATGGCGCGTGACTCGAAGCCATGAACGCAAGGGACAAAAGTCTTGCTGAGAAGTGACTTGTCGCCGTATGATAACACGAAGAGGGCGGTGACGTTGTAAAGTCTTAGCTTGGAGATCTTGCGTCGTCGCCATAGTGGTCCACAGAGGTCTATCATAACACCTGCAACCACGTCATCACAATGCATATCGAATGTCTTCAAAATTTTGATATGATTTTTTATGTAAATTTTGTGTTTAATTTAGAGTGTAGTAGACTTACAAGCCAAGCACAAAAATGCATGTACCAAACCTTCTTCAAATTTCCAGGACAAGTCTTCCCTCATTACAAAGCCGTGGTCCACTTGATAGCAAAAAAAAAACACGAAAACAAATACTACAGCCAAGTAAATCAATTTACCCACCTTCCACTGTGTTAGGATGAGGCACAAGGTCGTTTTAATGTCGGGTACTGTACATATGGTCCAAGAAAAAAAAATTTACCCGTGATCACTGTCACGCTGACGTTGGTATTCACCAACCCTTTCTCTTTAATGCATGATGTTGTTTTCTGTAGCAGACATTTTCTCACTTGTTCGTTACTACATCGGATTCTCACTACTGGCTCCATTCTACCCCCCCTTTTTTCCTCGCTCGAGAGATTGCAACTGGTTCTTATTTCCAAATGACACGATTGTGTTTGCTTCTATTTCTTAACTGTCTGTTCACTGACTACATTCCAGCCAGTCTTTTTGACCCTAATCCCCAACTGTTTCCTCTCAAACGCATCAAACCAACTCTTTCCAATGAAAAGACGTAATGGTTCTATTAACTGCCCTTGCTTTTTGTCTCGTACCACTTTCGACTTCTCCCCGTCTTAATCAGGCTAACGGCCACATTAAACACCGGTTCCCGTACGATCACCGAAGTTAAGCAACGTCAAGCTTGGTCAGTACCTAGGTGAATGACCGCTTGTAAGCCTGGATATGCGTGTGGTATAATGAATAATCGCTCGGAATTGTTAATCGGGGGACACGGTTTCAATTCCAGTTATGTTCGTCATATTCACTTACGTGCAAATACCCTTGAGAAGAATCTACCTCTCCCCCGCCCCAGCTATGGGTTAATTAGTAAGACTTGTATTACTAAAACCATTATTATCTCAAAAAATAATTTAAAAAATAAAATGGCGTACAAAATATTTAGATTTCAGCGTTAAATAACCCATTTAGGTGTTGATATGCCAATAAACAAAAACAATCAACCAACATTTTTGCCAACTTGTTTTAATTATTCCGAGAGCCATAGTGGTGTAACCTAGGGAAGCTTTTAAATAACTGTTGTAACCTAGGGAAAGTTACTGAATAGAATAATCACACGAAGCTTGGTAATGAACGATAATACTTAGGACAAGAACAACACATATAAGATTCACCAGCGGCGCGTAGAAGAAGTAGTCAATTGCTAGAAGTGAGTCAAGTGAATTCCACAATGAATCTCTAATTGCAGAATATCTACAAACCACCCCACGCGGTCAGGTGTGGCACAAGGCCGAATTTAATCTGGGTTATCCGAGGCTCGGCCAAAAATTCCCCGTAGACCCAATATAAAACGGGATCGGGTAGCTGTTTCCCGAGACGAGACTCTGCCCTTCGACATAGCCTCGTGTGGAGATTCTCTCTGCCCAGAGGCAGAGAGCTTGACCAGCACAGCTGGAGAAGAATTTCCAACTGCAGGATATCTGCCAACCTCCCCACGTGGTCAGATGTGGCACAAGGCCGAATTTAATGTGGGATATCCGAGCCCGTAGGCTTGGCCAAAAATTCTCCGTAGACCCCGTCTAAAACGGGGTCGGGTAGCTGTTTCCACGAGACGAGACTCTATCCTTCGACATAGTCTCGTCTGGGATCCTCTCTGCACAGAGGCAGAGAGTTTGACCAGTACAACTGGAGGTGAATTCCCAACTGAAGACCAACATACAGTATTTACTACTGTATTTATGTGAAGGGGGATATACCCATTATCGTCCGTAGACGTGCTACAACACTTAGTTTCTCCTTTTTGAATCTTAAAACACTGCCACACTTCAAGTATCATGGCAGCTCTGCTCCAGACCAGCATGAATATATAAAATAAACTATTTTACATTTTCTGTTACAATCACTGTAACAATAATTATAGCTAAAGGATAGTATATCCACTTGAAATTCATTTTTCTACTTATCCATGAAAAGCAAACGTAACTCAAGTCGTTTTAATAATGCGCTTTTTTTCATCAGATAGATTTGGATTCTCCCTTCGGAATATTAGAATTGCACGCCCTTGTTATTCAGCTAAGCACCCAGAAACCCGGCCTGATTTCTAAAGAAGACATAAAGAGTGGCATTCAACCCAAAGAGTCGATGGCATGTGATATATGCGGCTTTGGAAAGGCTAAACCCTTTGAGACCGTTGCTGTGCCTTTGAAACAGACAGAAATAGACTATAAAAGGAAAGCATCCCTTTTAATCATCCAGGAAGCAAAAGATAACCGGTTTACCCAATTATTAACGCAATCACATAAGAATGACACTCAGAAAGACGATGACATATCTTTAAAGCCGCATGTGAAAACTGCTTTCGCCAACATAGGTAAAAATCCCCAGCAAAATAGTAAATTTAAGACTCCGACATTGTGGGGAAATCAAACGAAGAATGTATTGCATTCTAAAAAACCCTCGTCACATTCTAACGAAAAGGCTGCAACGCTGCCAGCCAGGAGGAGTCATGCATTTAAAAGTATGACAAACCTTATGCACACACAGACTCAAATGTTGCCGAACTCGGATAAAAATTTGAAACAGACAGAGTTACGCATTGAAAATGAAGAACAACGATCATTGCAAACGTCAAATTATCACATAAAAGAGAAGATTTCCGAGTCTGGAGGAAATACGAAAGGAAACTTGCCAATAATACCTTGGTTTATGAAAACAAAATCTCATGAAGAGAAATCAAAAAGTGTGCGTATGCACAAAAGAAATATTTCTCAGCTAAAAAGACCCACTGACATACTAATGACTTTAAAACACCAAAAATCGGGATTTAATAAGCTATCAGGTGAAAAGATCATGGTAGATAGATCGAAACATGTAAAAAATATTTTTAGCAGAGCAGCTGGGATCTCAAAAATCAATAAAGTTCCCCGTCTGACAAATATCTTCAATAAGTTGCAACATAGTGCAAAGAAAGAAGCAGAAACGGTTTTACCTAAAACCAATTTTGATTTTCTAAAAATACAATCCTATGACTCCTTTAAGAGTGATGATAAAATAACGCAACAATCTATAAGAGAGATGTTCATTTTAGTTCAGCTGAGGGCCATCTTTTATGACGAAATCGTTTCCTGCCCCATGCATTTTTCTACTCTGGTAAGCAACAACACCACTGTATCCTACTTGGTTCATCACATCAAACAGTTTTGTGATATAAATTGTAAAGAAGTCTCCATTTCGCCCAATAGACTACGTTTTCAGCAGTCATTACTGCCGAATGACTTCACGCTGAAACAATGCGGCTATCGAGGTTATTGCAAATCTCATCCACAAAAAATCACTTTATACTACGATTGTGATATCCCTTACAAACCCGGATTTATTGCAAGTCTAAATAAATAGATAAACAAAGAAGGAGACAAAGAACCGTTATATAAAAAGGTAGGTTTTCAAATTTATTTTTACAGATATAAAATCCTTTTGGAAAGGGAGGGTCTTTTTTTTTCGGATAGCAAAAAAAAAACAAAATAAAAAAAAAAACGTAACAAACAGAGAATGTAAAGGTTAAGCGAAACGCTTATATCATCATCATCACCATCATCATCACCATCATCATCACCATCATCATCATGACCGGTTGTGGTCGCATCTGACCAGTTCCTTTCATACATTAAGTTTGAAAGCCGGACAGGTATCCATTGATGTGCAGCATATCTTGGGCAAATACGCCAAACCACAGCCGATAGCCTCTAACATAAAGGTTAGTTTTGGTCACAGGCCCATTGATCCTATCGGTGGGATTTTACGCCCTGGATGTTGACTCCGCCCAACGATGCCGTATCATAAGACGGCCGCTGAACCCACAAGAAAGATCATCCGCTCTTTGACAAAACTTGCATTTGGGGGAACAACTTTTGTCAACGATTACTCGACAAAGAGGCAACTAGTACTGGGTTACATTATACCAATAACACTAGTACAGTGACCTAACATAAATAAGATATTCTATTTTTAGCAAAATAATGACACCAAATTGATGGTACACTCAGAAAGGAAGCTGCGAGTACTCTTAGACAGGGTAGATAAGGGAAAGCTAGATGAAAGGACTATTAACCATAAGAAAATAGAATGTATCATCGTCATCAAGATTGATTGATTCGTTTCTTTTTTTTTGCGATTTATCAACTCTTTGCAGGTTATTTAAAGCCAGAAAATATTTTTATATTGTAAGTTTTTTTTTGTTTTTGTTTTTTTGGTGGGGGGATAATAGTTTTGTGATCCAAGTTTTACTGTTTAACCCAAGCTGAGGGGAGAAGTGTTGGATTCATATCTTTCCAAATGGAATTTGCACGTAAGTGAATATAACGAACCCAACGGGAATTGGAACTCGGCTCTCCGATTAACAATTCCGTGGTATTATTCATTATGCCACCCGCACATTCAACTTTAGAGCACCTGATATTCGCAAGCGGTCACTAATCTAGGTACTGACCAAGCTCGACGTTGTTTCACTTCGATGATCGTACAGGAACCGGTGTTTAATGTGGCCATAAGCCTTCGTCATCAAGAGGTGTGAGCTAAGGATTGGAGACATCAAAATCAAACGGTTACAGAAATTTAACTATATCGTTTGTATCATAACAAACGATAGAAAATGTGTTGCCGTGATCCAGAGGCACCTTGGAATAGTGAATGAAGCCCTCCTGAAGATAAACCAAGTATTAAGAGATAGAAGAATTGTGTTAGAAACAAAGAAAAGAGTGCTAAACTGCTATGTAAAATCTATCCTCTTATATGGCAGAGAATACTGAACAATTTCCTTACAGATGATTTGTTTGTTTGTTTAGCGGCCTATCAACTCCTTATGGGTCATTTAATACCGAAGTTTAATTTTCTTGGGAGCATTAGTAATTTCTGTTACAAAAATGTATTTTCATACTGTTTTGACCCCAGTTTGGGGGGTTAACTATTTGCCCATAATTGGCACCCTAACAGGTGCTACCACCCCAAGTCAGGGTTGACCTGGGAACAACAGCTATTAAGAGGTGGTTCCGCGCTCCTCAAAACCTCCCGATCAGGGGCGTTGCTGCCGGATGTAGTTTATCGCCATACCCAGGACGGACCTCACAGATGAAGATGAAACTTGAAGCGACAGAAATGTGGTTCTATTCTACAAGAATATCATATTAATAACGAGGAAGCTTTAAGGATAATGACAACGAAAGGGGCATATACAATCAAAAAGACACATTTGAAATTCCTGAAACATATGAAGAATCAGAACTTGAATAATTTGACATTCACAGGACATATTAAAGCCTAGGGTCTGAAGAAAACAGCGAATAACATATCTAACGAGTTTATGTAAATTAATTTAGTGATATAAGTCTTACTAATTAATCCGTAGTTTGGGGTGGAGAGGAGGTGGATTCATAGCTTCCCCAAAAGTATTTTGCGCGTAAGTGAATATAACGAACCCAACGGGAATTGGAACTCGGTTCACTGATTAACAATTACGAGCCATTTATCCATTACACCACCCACACATACAAGCTTCCAGCACCTGGTATTTCCAGCCGGCCACTCATCTAGGTACTGACCAGGCTCAACATTGCATAACTTCGATGATCGTACAGTGCGATGTGGATGTAAGCCTATGTAAATAAATGGCGGAAGACTAGGAAGGATGATATCCTAGCGTTGATTAGAGCTACGTCTCCCACGTCCTGAAGGGACACGGTACTTAAAAAGGTTTTCGTCCAAGTGTACAAAACAAATTTTCCGATTATTTTAAAGTTTTATAAGCATTTCTGTTAAATTTTACCTTTTCTGTTTGCAACTGTTTATTCTTTCGTTGTTGGGGCAACGCGTTCATGGCTAGATTTGACCAGTACCCTAACTTTCTACAAAAGTTAAAGAACACTCATTGCCATTTTTGTAATGTCAACGAATACTCGTTTGTCACTTTCGTAATGCTCGTTGTAGTAGAGACTTTGTAATCGCAGATACAACTATAGTAATGCTGTTGAACAATATTGGTGTCAGACACCTTCGAATAACACTCGCACTAATAGTACTTGCTTGATAATACTCGCTCAAAAAGTAACCCGTGTAGTGATCTGAATCGAGAAATAGTATAGTGAATAGAGTAGAGAATAGCGGTCCGTATAGTAATAGAGGATAGAGTAGAAATGGTGATCCGAATAGTAATATAGTATAGAATAGAAATAACAATCATTTAGACGTCACACAACATCCTATTTGTACGTTTCCTCTATGGTCACGTGGTCTACTTAATTCAATAATGTGATCGCCTGTGTTTGCTCACTGACGATCTATGTTCAAAGTCAGGTGTCAGCAGCGACACTTTATTCCGATATAACACTTTCTACAAAAGTCAATAAATTTTTGTTTCTAGGTGAAGGAAAGCTAATCGTCATATTTACACATTTGATGTAGACTGATTGATTTGCTTGTTTGTTTGTTTTTTTTTTTTTTTTTGTTTTTTTTCGGCTTATTAACCTTTTCTAGGTTTTTTTAAAGCCGAAAGATATTTTTTGAATTGTAAGAATAATTCTTTTTTTTACGAGTGAATATTGTATTAATATTTTTTGTAGATAATGTTTTTCAGATATATCTCCCACTGTTTAACCCATAGATGGAAGAGAAAAGAGGTGGATTCATGCCTTTGACTTGAGTCAACAAGAGTATTATGCGCATAAGTGAATGTAACGAATCTGACTGAAATTCGAACCCGGCATTCCGATTTCTCATTCTGAGTCGCTATCCATTGCAGCACACGCACATCCACGCTTGCTGCAGCACTTAATATTTTCAAGCGGTCACCTATCTCATATAGGTTTTTACCAGGCTTGAAGTTGCTTAACTTCGGTGATCGTATAAGAACCATTGTTTCAATGTGATATGGCCACAAGTTTATTTGATGTAGAAAGAATCGAATAAATAAATAAAAAAAAAACACACAATAATAATGATAATAATAATAATATGTAGTCTAAAAATATCCCAAAATAAAAAAAGCAACAAAGAAAAATACATCGGCCAGTATATCACCAGAGGATAACGCTTCCAAACAAGCAAATGTAAATAAAGTGCTCAATATTAAGGTATAGTGCATTAAATAATTAAATAAAAAATTCGTAGACTTAGTGACACTAAGGGCATAAACAGGAAGTTACCTCTTTTATAGCTTAAAACATAATGACATATTTCGCAATAGGCTCCACGCATAACGTCCAGTTGAAGTTGGTTAAATACAATCCTAAATAAATATATGGTGACCAATAAGAAATGAGCGCGCCTGAAATAATCAATAACTTAATCGGGGCCTCTTCTAACTTCTCTGACTATATAAATAGGCCCCTGTCTAAAAAGAAAAAAGGAGATTCGAACGCACAGAGAAGACAGAGAGACGAAAATTTACAACTGTGAGCGGATACATCAAAGGAATCTCGGTTTCAACAACCACTACCACTTCTCACACCTCTCTCGTTATTTTCACCCCTTTTACTTCTCTTAGACATTCAACCTCCTTTTTCTCATTTACAAGGCATATTACTAAATGAAACTATCATCTGTCAAAAACATTAAATACTTTTACAAACTCTTGTATTCATTGAAATGTAATAAAAAAAAATTATTTCATCTTACTTAAATACCAACCTTGTGCCATCTATGAACATTACTACTGTTTTTGTACAATATGAAACCAATTATTAATGTTTATATAAATTATTATTGTTATACTCAAGACTTGATTGTTCTTAAAATGTGATTTATTGTGTTTTATTTACTCATTCATAATACATCACTTATTTTGGGGTAATCCTAACAAGGCCCAAATCAAACCCCACAAATAACCCACTATAATACCGAGTTTCGCAGATACAAGCCCGCTCCTTGGAACTATTCTTGATTTCATTTTATTATTTTAAAACATAATTTTTAACGCATTTCGTTTTCAATTTTCTTTTCAACCGTTGAAGCTACTTTCCTGAGAGTTTCAAAAATCATTATCCAGTTAGTGGTTTCTCCAAATCACCAAGCTAAAATTTCATGAAAGTTCAAACAAGGCCATTGTCCTGTTAGTGATACATTTAAGTTTAATACATTCCTTTATTTTTTTTTTTATATTATTTCCGTACCTGTTTGAAGTCATAAAATAATGTAATTGTACCCAATGTATTTTTTAAAAAATATTTTGAATTTAAGAGCTATATCAAATTACTCTTCCGATAGGGAAAAGTAGTCAAAGGCGGTAATTCAGAATTATTTCCATTTTGAACATCCATACCCAGAATAATTTAACAGTTGCTAAAAATTTTTTAAAGTCTTTTAAAAAGTTTCACACTCGAAAAGGGCATTCGATTTTTCAAAAATGTTTTTATCTAATTAAAAACAAAGTTTTCTTATAAACAGCAATGGGATGAATTTCAAAATCGCAATGAAAAATAAATTACTAGTAATTTAAAAATAATAGATATTTATTGTAGATTTTTTTCTGTCCACTCTGAAATAAAATAACATGTTTTGTTTAATTATGTAAACACCAACTGTCAGAAAATTTTTTTGAATTTTATTTAATAATTTTTTATAAGATTTTGGACAAATTTTCCGCATGTTCACATTTGATATTACATAATTTTTTTTTTTTACTGAAATAACATCTTCAGTGATTTTTATTTATATAAATGTAAAAAAAAAAAAAGAAAAGAAAATGACAAACACCCTCCAAATTAAAAAGTATGTGGAGCGAGGACGTAAATGAACACCAAGACAGTTAAACACCAAATGACAGAAAAATGGTTTCTGAGTCGGAGGATTGCGCATTGTCCTGGTTAAAAATTAATGCTTCGAAAATGAATATTTATCATTTTTCAACCAATGGGTCGCGTTCCCACCAACAATAAAAAAATTCTTCGTGATCCCTTTGAAGGGTTTTTAAGCAAAGTTTCCAGACAGACAAACCAGGAGAGGCAACTGTCAACAGACGGCAATAGGTCATAACGCTCGACTTAAATGAAATTCCCTTGCACATTCATTCGTCTTCCCTACCAAGTTACGGAACACTTACACTTTCCTCCTTACGTTCTCTCTCTCCCCATCTTTCTAAAAAGACGGATGATTGACTGTCTGGGTGTTCATTCCCGTCTTCGCTCCACAAATATACTACAAATTGAAAACAACAACAACTAACTAAACACTATATGAACACATATGCATTTCGGCTTTTTCATAAATAAGATGGCGCCGGATGAATATCTGCGATTATGTCGATACATCTACAAACCTCGAGCAATAGATCCTGTCGACATTGACCATCTGGTTTGGCTGGTCTCGTCTTCCTCGCCGCCCTCTTTATTCTCAGCGCCAACTCCGGAGGGGCGATACCGCCCACTTTAAAGAAAACGAACATTTCAAAGTGTAAATAGATATTTTTTTAGATGTAATTTTCATATAAACATTTCTATCTTAAACATTAGAAGAAATGGCCATATGTGTGAAGCGAAGACGGAATTAAGCACC